GATAAAACGAAAAGAAAATATATTTTACCCACAAAAAAGAAAACAATATCGGTAAAATTGTCCGTGTATTTATGTTTTAACAGCTTCTGGCGGAAAAAAGTCACACATTGCGTGACTCAAAGTTTGGCCGAGGGGAGGTCTGCGTCTGGTCACCGACAAAAAAAAAAAATAAAAAGAAATAAACCACGGGTAAACCTAGAACCGCGCTTGGCCCATGGCCCCACGGTTAATAATTATTATCTGACATCATATGTTCAACATACCTTTCCTGTTGCGGCACCCTTTATTTGGAACCATTTTAATTACCAGAGGTTCTGAAGTCCAGTGACACTTTTAAATCTGAACTGAACAACTTTCTTTAATTTTAATCTGAAACAAGCTCTTTTTATCTGTAGTTTTAAGCTTTTAGGATACCCAACAAGTTTGTAATAGCCCTTTTCACGGTTAACTTTTCTCATTTGCATTACAGTATAATCAGTGACATGCATGCAAAGCAATTTCATGCAGAAACTACAAAGTTTCCCAAAATTGCTCTCCACATAATAATTATGCTGGATTTTATATTCTAAATGTAACTGCAAAATGGGCTATTACTTTTTTTGTTAAGCTTGATACTTTTAGCAATGACTTTTAAAGTTTTATCTGCAATTACTACCACTGAATCAATGAATAAAGGCACTATAGAAATTTATCTATTAATTATAAATTTTAATCAAGTAATATGCCCTACATGTAAGAAATGGCACCACAGGTGTATGTATTTATTTGTCAGTAATGTTAATTTACATTTTTCAAGGGGGCAGCTTTAACAAGGGCTATAATATTGCTTCACTTTTTGCTTCACAAGGTTCAATAATAAAGGTTTTAAGCGGCAGACACATGATGTGTTAGCAGTCCAAGCTGGAGATCTGGTGTTGGAAGTCAATAGAGTTGTTGTGTCAACTACTACGGTGGACAAGGTAAGCACATGCCCTGATACTAAGGTTTAAAATAATCAAATTAACCTAGAGCCAGCCTTGATGGTAGTAAATCTTCCTCCCCCCTACTTGGAGGAAAATCACTAAAAATCATTGATCTCTTAGAGATTGAATTTATTGCCAACGAGGTAGGCGAGCAAAAACGCGAGCCTGTCGAGGCGGCAGGATATAGAGCCATGCATAGTTTGATGGCTGTGCAGAAAAAATCTCACATCTTTCAGCTCGATTTTCACGTAATTGGGTTCCGTCAGTGATATTTTTTTGGCCATATTAGGATGTAGCTGGATGTTGTCAATATATCGCACAAACCAATCAGAACACTATTTTTCTTTGTGAAGTCACGAGGCTTCACCCTGTCATTACAGTGACTAACATCCTATCCTGGAGGGAGTTGAAATACTCCTAGTCACTTAATGCCATGGCAACCAGGATTAGCTCTGGTGGTATGGAATTATTGGCCTGATGTAGACTCTACCTACAGTAATTTTATTTCAACTTTATGGTCTTCTACATGTTTAGTATAAATCTACTAGCGTTCTATCACAAATGCCGTTCTCTGATTGGCTACACTACTCACTATGTATTCTGTGATAGATAGAGAGTGGTGTAGCAGTGTGTGCTTGTTAACAGAATGACAGCCGCTTCTTTGCATTTTTGAGGTGTCAGTAAAGATTATTTGGATAAATTTTTGAACGACTAGTAGATTTATGCCAAAGCAATTAGATTATTCGCTCTCAATTTCTTTGCGTGATAGAAATCTCGAGTTCATAATCTAATTGCTTAATATACTTTGGGTGTCCAGTATCAGGTTTTCTATGGTAAGCAGTTAAGGTACAGGATGTGCCCTGCTTCTAAAACATTGTTGTTGACCTAAAAGTCAACTTGTAGCCTAAGGTTACCAAAATTTAGGTTGCTGATTTGCCCTCTCATATGCACTAAATTTTTGCAGGTTCTAATTTTTGCAATTTTTGCTTTTTTTCCCCACAATCCTCTAAAAAAGTTCTCGCAAAAATTTTCTCTGCAAATCGCAAAATTAGTACCCAGCATGAAAAACCAGTCTTTTACGATTGCAAAAATTGGTTCCGGTAAAATGCAAAAAGTCACTGATTCGCAAGAATAAACTCTCACAAGAATTTAGTGGCACTTGGTAGTTTTAAGCAAAACTGAAATTTCATTCCTTCAGATGAGACTGATGCAAAAACATAATTGTTCATCACAGAGCTTTATACATGATACATTATTCTGACTATAGTTGGTGGCTTTTAGTATGTCTAAGGTATGTAAATTACTTGATACAAACTATGATCTATTTTACATTAGGTTGCTGCTCTTCTAACAGCTCGACCAGACGAGATCACACAAATCACAATTGAACGAAATCAGAGTAGACTTCAAGTCAAGCCCAGACTATGCAGGCTACCCAGTGTTGATTCCGATAGTGATTCTGAAGAGAAAAGCTTCCGCAACAGGTCAATTTCCCTCTTCTCTCGAAGAGAACTACGGCGCTGTCGTACATCAACAGAGAACAACTCTGTAGTGAATGGGGAAGTAGAGTCTCAGAAAGAACTCGCTTCAAAGAAGAGCACGAAACCTGCAATGCGATCCAATTCACTTCCTCGAAGGTAGGCTCATACCTGCATATATACAGGGCTTCTGGTAGGACGTGGAAAAAAAAGTCAAATTTCGCGGGATTTTCAGGGACAAATTCATGTGTTAATGTGTTGTTATCTTGGGCAAGACATTCTTGATCCAAGATTACTCAGAACTTGTTGAATTACAGGAACCAACGAATCCAATGTGGATAAGGATTTACTGGTTTGTTCTATGCATCAGTTCCACAGGGGTTTTATTAGCATTTCAGTAAGAAGGCAATCGCTTTTCACGAGGCGGCGAAACTTTTTGATCTGAACTTCTTTGTAAGAGGAAGTTTCCTCTAGATGGTCAAACCAACAGGCAAAATTGTCCACACAGTCAGTCAATTTGCTTGGTGCCCAGTTCTTAATGCAACCCGTTAAGTTCCCAAAGAATGTAATCATGAATAGATATAAGTTATGGTTTTTTCATTATTTTATCTTTGGTATGAATCTTTATTCTCCATCGCCACATTTTCATTATGATAATCATAATATGAGACAAAAGGCAAAAGGAAATAAAAATCAATTAAAATAACTTTTAATTACAACATTATATCAATCATTAGTATCATTACAGTATTATACAAGCGCTTCTCTCATAATGTACTTGTCAACCTAGCGCATGCCGCCAGTTCAGAATTGAAGGACTTCAGACAAACATTAGACTGTCAAACTCTCATTGTCCTCTTAAACTGTATTGTCAGGTAATGTTTTCTTGCTGTCTTGTCCTGAAACTAGAACTACTGAATATTTTGTAATTTTTGTGTTGTGAAAGGTGAATTGATCAACATGACATGAGCGTGAGACAAAGAAAAAATCGAAAGGAATCGAGCCCATGACCTCCATGAACACCGGGTAGGCTCTCTATGTCTCGCACTTGTGTCATGTTGATCAATTCACCTTTCAATTTTCATTACCAAGCTGAAAAATTCACCATCTTTATTCGCTTAATATCAATTTTTGTTTTGTTTTGTGCAAACAGCAATTCAATGTCTGATTCATTCAAAGTGAGATCCCCTATTCACAGAGCTCAGTCATTCAAAGTAGAGACTGTTTCAAACAGGTATGATATTGCTCTTATTTGCTGCACTTATACATGTATACCATATATCTTATACCTTTCCCTATAGTATAGAATATATACTGATATCGTAAACAATATTGGAGGTTGTTGTAAATCATTCTATCTAATATTCTGAAGATGGTACCTGAGAAGAGGATCGAAGGATGTTAGTATAAGTATCTTAGCTTTAAATAACCTGTGTGGAGGTCACCAATTAATTATAGTTACCTCAATGATGTAGAATTTATGAGTTCAGAAGCATTAGTGTGACTTGGGAAATTTTGGGAATGACGTTGAGCCCAAATTTAGAAAAGACTTTTTTTTCTTATTACCTGGTAATTTGATGCCTTTTTGTATTCCATTTGTTCATGAATGCAGACTATTTTCCATGACACAAATGTGGTTTACCATGTTACTGTACCCAAATTTGTAAATCACTGATCTGATATGGCCACGATATCACAGTTACTTTCAAGTTGAGTAATTTTTACTTGCGTCAAACTGAATGAAAACTATTTCTGCTTTCCTTTGAAAAGCTACAATAAAGTTTTGAAACCATACTAAAGAGAACTCACAAAGTATTGTATTGTGCAAAACGTGGATGTAAAGTTGTATAATTTGATTAGGTCATTGTTAGGCTATTTCCAACATTACTTATTATGGCAGGGTTTTCAATTTGAAATAAACTAACAGAAGGAAATCCTAAAGTAGGCAGAACACAGTTGGGTCATGTTGAAGACGGCAATTGTCATGTGGGGAAACAAGAGTGCCAAAGTGGGTTCCCCGGTCTGCAAGGGAGGAGGGTGATGGAAGCTGGCCCTGGAAATTTTTGAAATCTGTGTGCCTTGAGGTGCATTCTGTTCATTTATTTCCTCGGAAAGATTACGTTGGTGAAACAAAATGGCCTATTAACAAACTTTGTACAAAAAGTACCCAGTGCAAATGCTTGAAGTAGCTGGTGACTTGCATCAGGTGCCAGCTTATTTTGAAAACCCTGTATGGTAGTGTGATTTTCTTTGTACATTTTTGTCTCTGGAATTCCCGAATCTCTGTTTCTTTTAAAGTGGCATTTCCCCATTCCCGCCTTGTAAAATCGGCTAATCCTGTGTCCCAGTCAGAATTACAACCCCAAATCTTGTCCCCCTTTTCTGTAAAAAATCCCAAATCCTGGCCTTAAAATAAGTTAAATCCCAGATCCCAAAAAAGCTATTGGGGAATCTCATATTCTAATTGAGCCTCTTTTTTTCGGGCTTAAAACCAAAACTTTTAACTGGCGGGCACTTCTCAACTTTGCAATGCTTTGCTGAAGTTTCCAGATTTTTCCCTAAATTTCCTTCCTTAGGGTAGAGCTTGAGTAATTGGTAATGAGCAAGCTGTACCCCCCAGATTAGCCATTATTAATTAATAACGTCATATACTCCCCATGCAGAGTTTTCAGGCCTTGTGATCTGGCGATAGGAGATGTGATTGGGAAAGGCTTCTTTGGACAAGTTAGAAAGGTATTATGTGTTATTTTCTTTCAGTAAATCAAATACTCCCTAAGGGATCAAAATTAAACATTATTAAACGTATTCTTAAAGCATACAAAGAGCCACAGCTAGATGTTCAGATTCAGACAAAAATTGAATTGCTACATTGAATCCTAGAGCGGTTTTCACATGAGTGTTGAAAAGTAATTGGTTTCACATTTACCATTACTATGCAACATGATTGGCTTAAAAACCCTCGGCACTTTATTTCTTTTTCATTTCAGAAGCAAAGCCAATTGTGACTCACTCGTACAGGTTTTCCCGTTCTTTGTGTCAGTTACTTTCAATATTAAGTTTACTTTTGATTGGCTTTGCCCCTTGGGATTGACTGGAGTTATGTAATTACTTCGGTTTTTGTTTTACAGTACTCAGTATTGAAAACTGCTCTCACAAAAAGTCTTAACTGTGCATTCAGGTCACACAGAGGCAGACAGGAGAGGTAATGGTGTTAAAGGAACTCCTACATTATGATGAGGAGGCAAACACAAGCTTCTTAAAAGAAGTGAGTTAATTGTAAATAGGATTTCGCAAATGAAACTACACAGGATCTATAGCAGTGTGTTTTTTTTGTTTAGGTAATTGATTAGGTAGGGTTTCGAGAAATGTCCCGCTCACCACTACCCCACCCCACTGGACAAAACGAGAAGCAAACGTTGTCATGTCTGGTGCCAGCTAACTCAGGCAATAAGTATTTTGTCCCATACCTTTATGGAGTTTGATTTTGTTGAAAGTTGTGAAAATGTCTTAGAGTGGTGCACATCCTAAATTAATTGTGAACATGTGTAGGGCCAGAGGACATTAATTCTATACTGGAAAGTTAGTAGTAATTCTTTTCTTTCCAGCTTTCAATATCATTGCTGTGTGGCACAACATTACATTCACAATTCATTCACAGTTGCATACCCTACTTCTGAACTGGCCCACATAAACCACGCTTGCCCTGCTCACATTAGCTTGCAGTGTTGTTTTCTTTTGGATTATATCACTAGCAAAAAAAAAAAAAAAAATCAAAAAGCTGGAGGTGAACAACCCCCACTTCCATTTGCTTTAACCTTTTTCATGTTCCATTGGCATCCATGGTAATTCAATGGTCATGTAAATTGATAAGAATAACTTAATTGAAATCTTTTTTAGGTTGCCTTGCTGAAGAGCTTGGACCACCCTAATGTATTGAGATTCATTGGCGTTCTGTACAGAGACCAGACTCTAAACCTGATTACTGGTAAGCTACCTTGTAATATATACCGTTAGCTACACATTTCTCTACGATGCTCTCCCTTCAATGATTGCCGACTTGTGAATCTTTACTAGATAATTGGTTACAGTAATTCAAACAAATAAAGTAAATTAAACGAATTTTTGCCTTGTTTGTGATAGGTGTTTCTCAAATGTCTGTAAGTAAGTTGGTTAATTGTCATCTTATCGGTGAATTAAATTTTGTAAGTAAAGAAGCATATTTGGCAACAACAACAATGTAATTAAAAATTACATTCTTTTGCAGAATACATCTCTGGTGGAACATTACGTCAAGTTTTGAAGGATAAGGTGAGAAAAGACTCTGCTTGTCCAGTCCCTACAAAAAGCTAAATGAGGTTATCAATAATCGTACTAGTTAACTTGGGGATTTATCATCAGTCAGCAGGTGCATTGTGAATGCGTGGTTGTCACGTAGACTTTCCCTCATGGTTTTGCTTTGAGTAGCTTTGCCAGTTTGGCTTCAGTTTGTTTACTCCCGTTAGCCTTTTGGTTCCCTGAAGGCTTGTACTCAGGTAAGTTCTCTTTGTCTTCTCTATTCTTCACAGAGAGATCAGTGAGACAAGTGCCGCGGGGAGGTGACCCATTACAAGTTGTTGGTTACCTCCTTTATTTGCATTTTGCCTACATTCACTTATTGCCTGTATGGCTTACAATTGGCACCTTGCCAAGTGGCCCATCAGGCCGAAGCTTATCCTGGTTTCAGTAGCATGAAGCGACTAGGAGTATTTCTACTCCCCTCCCTGGATGGGATGCTAGTCCATCGCAGGGTTACCCCCCAGCATTAAATTCGCTGGAACCCATTTACACAGCTGGGTGGAGAGAGGCACTGTGAGAGTAAAGTGTCTTGCTCAAGAACACAAAACAATGTCAACAGCGAGGGCTCAAACCCGGACCGCTCGTGCTGGGGTCGAGCTCACTAACCATGAGACCACCACACCTCCCACGGCTGTGAAGGAGACCTTTCGAATTGTGAGAAATATGCCAATGATTTGACCATCAGATGATATGGATACGGCATAGTGCAGGTGCAATGCAGTACACTACAGTTCAGTATGAAACAGTTCACTAGATTTCATTCACTGTCTATTTTCTTGTTTTCTTCAGGGTAAGCAGTTGTCATGGTTACAGAGGATCAGGTTTGCAAAAGATATTGCAGCAGGGATGGTAAGTGGTTTTTTGTTTTGCAGATGTATTCATTCAAAAACCCTACCTAATTTGGACAAAGGGTATGATTTTGACTAGTTCAAAATCGTAGGCCTGAAGCAATCAGCTGCTTCTTGTAAAGGAACTATATGTTATCCAAACCTAAACCAGAGCTGAACGTGCAAACTGACTCAATTTGCGCTAAAGTGTTTGTTTAGCTATCTAATTCGTATGTTAATTTTCAGCTCTAGTCTACTTAAATAATCACTTTCTCATAGTTATTTTCTGTTGATAATGGCATCATGATGACTCCAAAACGTCGAGTTTTAAATCTTTCAGTAATTTTGGCACGTCTCAGCTTTAGCAAATCGTTACGAATGACACAACTAATTAAATAATTGCCCATTTTTGTCAAGCTTGTTTTTGGTAATTTATGCATTTTAATTTTACATAGTGATACTAAAGCATCTTTGTCTATGTTTTGGTATGTTGCTTCMGTGTTTTCACGTCTCGGGAAGCTAATAGGCTGATTTAGCAAGAGAACGGGAACGTCACTTGACGACGGCGCGCGCAGAACAAACACCCAAATATGGTCAAATTAGAACAGAATCCAGGTTATTCCGCGCGCCCTGCAGTCGTCATCTGACCATATTTGGGCATTTGTACTGCGCGCGCCGTCGTCAAGTGACGTTCCCGTTCTCTTGCTAAATCAGCCTATTATATTTGAGGTGTTCTTAAATTTGAAAACCATACCCTTCACAATGGTACATGCCCATATAGCTCATGTATGGGAGTACCCCCCTTCCCTGTATTTAGCAATAACAAGTGTTAGTTTTACTAATGCCGACGGTTCGTTCAATTGTTTCTCAGGCTTATCTTCATTCTATGAATGTAATGCACAGAGATCTGAATTCCAAGAACTGCTTGGTCGAGCCCGATAAGGTAAATTTTGACCTTTTTTGCTGCATTACTTATAGCCACAGAAGACTCCTTCATAGAACCGACTGTTATTAAAAAGTTGGAGTGGCTTTCTAGTGCATTTAATTCTTTTGGAGGCGGTGTGACCTAGTAGTTAGGGTGCTGGATTTGCAATCCGATTCAAATTCTCCTCCCGGTTCTACCACCAGACTACAAGGGTTTCATTAAGGGCCAGGCACCGGGAAAATTGACCGTCTGTGAGGACGATTTTGCCCGCCTGATTTGATCATTTAGGGAAAGTTTTTCTTATACAGAAGTCCAGTTCAAAAAATCTTTCCGCTTGTGAAAACCAGTTGCCCAGCTGCTGGAAACGTTAATGAAATCCCTGACTGGATGGATATGTGTTCGGTGTTCCCGAATTAAACTCCTCCACCTCTTGTAAATAACCAACTGATCACCTCCAACCAGTTGGAAGTTTTAACAAGTTTTCAGTTCTATTTGACACATTTGTTTCGTCGTTTGGGGTGTACCAATTTTAGCACAGCAGTGTTAAATACCATGACTTTTAAATTAAGAGATTTTTATTCTTTTGTTACCTTTCTTTCACTTTGTACAGGAGTCAGGTGAGATGTCGGTTGTGGTAGCAGACTTTGGTTTGGCCCGTGTAGTGAGGGACAGACCAATGTCACCTATGAATCGCATTTCAGCAACACTGCCGCCTTCTCCTGGTCGTAAACCACTTTACTTTACCGGTAACAGGCTACCTCCTCCCAAGAAAAGGTAATACTCAGTGACGAGGGTCCCATCCCGCATCCCGCCACTATTTTTTGGCTTAATCCCGCCATCTCACCATCCCGCCGTACTCTGAATTTTATGCTGACCCGCCCGGCAAGAGTCGCACTTCTTCGCGTAACTTCTGTAACGTGTGATTTTTCGTTTTTCATCCCGCATCCCGCGTGTCAAAATGATCAAATCTTGCTCCCACCGAGATTTTTTTTTTCCCGCATCCTGCCTTCAAAAGTCCTGTCATCCCGTATCCCGCCTTCATTTTTACTCTCGTCCTGCATCCCGCTAAACCTATATTTGGCCCTCAGTGACGAGCACAACGGTTTCGCACATCCGGCAGAAGGCTGATTTAGCAAGAGAACGGAAACGTCACTTGACGACGGCGCGCGCAGTACAAATACCCAAATACGGTCAGATGACGACTGCAGGGCGCGCGGAATAACCTGGATTCTGTTCTAATTTGACCATATTTGGGTGTTTGTTCTGC